ACTCGGTAAGCGCTTACCGTGGTAAGAGTCGTCGCCCTTACTTACCGGGTAAGACTCATAGTCATTGTCTCGCTCTTGTCGGGTAAGATCCTTAGTCCTTACCATATTCATCCTTGTCGGGTAAGATCCTTAGTCCTTACCATATTCATCCGGTGAGGTAATGTGACTTGGTAAGCGCTCACTCTCGTAAGTGTTTGGTAAACGACCCCTTAAATTTATTTGGTGTCCTATAAACGCCGGTTTCGTTGCTTCTTAGAGGAAATGATGGAGTATCCGCAGACACATCTACAAAACCTTCATATAGGAAAGAAATTCAAGTGCAAATTGTARRACGTATTGACAGAAAAGAAATTGCGCGTGTTGAATTGAGTGCTCGAGTTACTAACTTACATTTACTGTTCCCCCAACACCCACAGCATGAGAGTTTCAAACGAACTTGGAGCAGGAGAACACAAAGCTGCAAAATTAGCGGTAGGGGTCGCCTTATCGCTAGTAATCACAGAAGTACTCRTGGTTGGCCTAGCTCTAGTGGCGGTTCGTGGGRTTTGGGCTAAATTGTACACCGATGAACCTGAACTCRTGAACTATGTGTCATTAGTTATGCCCGTGCTTGCTCTATCCAACGTCATGGATGGAATCCAAGGCGTATTATCAGGTTAATTAGACCATGTAGATCTTTATATCAATCAAATACCTCATGAACCATGGGAAGGTTCTCATGAGAACCAATTACTCATGATGAATATGAAATTCATGATATTCATAATGAATATTTAGATATATTCATTATGAATAATAAATGAATAGTTGGTTCTAATGGTTTWGAACCATAAACACTAAYGAGTCTTGTAGTCCAAAACAAGGTGTTGCGAGAGGATGTGGTTGGCAAAAGATCTGCAYGTTGGTGAACCTCGGAGCTTATTATGTTGTTGGCCTACCTTGCGCCATCGTTTTAACATTTGTGTACCATTTGGAAGGGAAGGTGATGTTCAATTTCTTGTTCATTTCTCTTTTATTTTTCTTGTTCTTTGGAAGTCGATTTTGAAAAAATCGTTCGTAGGGTCTATGGATCGGGATCGTATGTGGGAGCGGGGTTCAAGCGTTGCTGCTTTTAGTAATCACCATGCGTACAAATTGGGAACTAGAAGTAGGACACCAAGTTCTTAATGTTATTAGCTTTTTGTTCAAGTATATCTTCTTTTAATCGGTCTATAAAACGTGTTTGCAGGCAAGACGCGTGACAAATCGGGTGAACACTCGTAGTGTTCCGATAACCCAAGTCTCATGAATACAATGCTGCTCAAGAATCACCAAAAGGGCATTTGGCCTAGTGGTATTGTAGCCCTTAGCCTTCTAGGAGGTCAGGGGCTCAAACCTCACCATAGGTGAGGAGGGTGTGTGAGTTTCATTGTTACATTTACCGTATATAAATATTATATACTTCAAAAAGCTGCTCAAGAATCTTGCAATACATGTTAAAAACTAATAATTGGTAAATGAGGGTTTGTTGATCTAATGAATTACTAGCCGTTATAAGTTCAAATGTGTTCATATGGTTTGCGGTGTGGATCCTGGTTTATGTTTAGAAATCGATAAAAGGGTTGTTTGGTTGGTTTTCAATTAAGTCTTAGGTACCGTTTACCCAACACTTATCCGGGTAAGCGTTTATTAAGTCATTTTACTTTACCAGTTGAATATGACAAGGGCTAATAATCTTACCCGGTAAGAGCAAAAACAAGAATCGAGAGTCTTACCCGGTAAGTGAGGACGAGGACTCTTACCATGGTTAGCGCTTACCGGGATAAATTGTTGCATACGATGCGTTTTAATGAATAAAATCTTACCCGGTAAGTAAACGATAGTGTTGAATTTTACCAGTAAGTGTTTACCGGGTAAGTGTTTAGGTAAACGGCCCCTTAGTGGATGGAGTTTCTGTATAAATTAATCTATCTGCATAGATTGAGAATGTTTTTGTTTGGGGTGGTTTTTCAATAAATGGAATGAGCGTTTTTCTAATTAGAAGAAACATCTTTGGAAAAAAACTTGTTTTCTACATAAAGTTCTCCCCTGGATACTTATTGAATAAGTTACTTTTCATATCACAAACCACTTCTAAACAATTATGTATAATTGAGCGAATAAATTGTGAATCCTATTAAGCTCGTTAAGCTGTTGACATATATGTCCCAAGTTTTGCAGCGCAAAGAAACAACAAACTGTCCACTATCTTTTACTCGGTAAGTGCCAACCGGGTAAATTTCATTATCCTCACTTACCATGTAAGATTCTCGGTTAGCAAAATGACATAGTAAGATTCTCGTTGGCAAAATGACATAGAAAGATTGTTGGTAAAGAACATCATATGTGACCAAGTAAGCATTGTTTAATAGCTCAACGCTAACCCGTCCCATACTGGGTTACATTACAAAATGAATTTAAGCATAAACTTAAACATCCGAAATATAATAATATAATTATCTAGGAGAGAACCTCGCTCTTGTCCACCCTTGAACCTCTTGCACCTGAGATGCATACTAATAGTCAGCTTTATAAAGCTCAGTGAGTTCATGGTTTTTGTGCACAATCATACACACCTCATCATGCATAAAACAAACAATGCCCCAAATAAAATAATATGCACATTTGTTTCAACCCTTTTTAAATAATAATGAGATCTCTTAATTTCCCGTCGGGTTAAGGTCTTACTGTCATCGGCACTTCCTCGGGTGACCGGCTACACGGCTATCCCTTGTCCGGTCACCCATCCCTAGGATGTGTCATCCCTTATGATTTTTGACCCCTTCCCATACCCGACAAAATATTAACTTGTTTATAACATGCTAATTAATGTTTAAAAACACGTAAACAAATAGCATGCAACCCACAATAATAATTCATATACATGTAATAAACCCATAAACATGTACATAGAAAATATCGTAATGCTCAAATAATTTGTACATAAGCATGCATCCCAGTTAAAGTCTCATGAAAACTCACTTGAATAGTTCTGTTTGGCTAAACCTCGTCCCTGAGTAATATCTTATAACATGTAATTATATTTCAATAATTAGAGTATTGACATTTCCCCAAAAAGTCAACTTGAAAGTCAAATAGATCAATTTTGGGGTAAGAATGGTCAACGGGTCAACCCCAAGCATACCTCGTCGCCATATACCCCTTCCCTAATGAAATTTTTTTCGCATCCAAAATAAATTACGATGTATTAAACCCAACATTTAATTATATACGATTTTCGTTATAAAAACGTCTGATCCCACAATTATCTAGTCACAACTCCCGAAATAAGTTATTAAATTATTTCTTATAATTTAAATATGAAACTCCAATTAATTAATAACTTTTACAATTGTTGTCCAAATCTTGACCAACTTAATCGAAACATCCCGATTTATTTCGATTAATCCAAGTAAATAAACGAGCCTTAAATCTCTTTTTAACAAAATCTTATACACAATATTAATCCCAAATCGTATCCAAATTTACAGCCCCTATGGTTCAATATTAAACTCGTATTTTGAGTTTTTGTACCCGAATCTCGTCGAGCCGCCGCCACAACAGTTTATAGCCTAAACCGCTCGACGTACAAGCCACCATAGCCCACGAGACTTGTACCAATAGAAAGATAATTGAAAAACGAAACCAACCATATATTATACATCAATTTTGGTTGAGTATTTTACCTCCAATCGTCGTTTTTGTACGGAATGAGCCTATGCCGCTTCAAACTCGATATCTCTCTCGTTACTTGATGAAATCTCGAAATTCCAAAGAAGTTTACTCCCTTACACCCTTAGGAACGTCTCCACAAAATTTCAGCCAAAAACTCCAATTTATAGGGCGTCAAACAATCTCTAGAATAGGAAAAACGTGATTTGGGAAATGATTTCCCATATCTCATCATTTCCAAATTAATTTTCTACTTTTGGCAGAACTAGTCCTTTTTGTTCTTCTTTCTGCATTTTCATCCCAAATCAATTAAATACAAAATGTTTCATTTCTTTTTTTTATTGATTTTATTTATTGCAATAAAATCATATTTTTCGAGTATCGACACTTTAATCCCGTATGTCGTTTACTCTTGAAATTTTAACCCGTAACATTTATTTATTTTACGAATCATAAATTTTTAGGGTGTTACATATATATTCCTTAAACATATAATATTTACATATAACATATCTCATATATATTTCTTATCTTTGGTAAAATTTACTTGAACTTGTAACTTCCAAAAACACTAAGACCTGTGGACAACTTTATTTACACTCATACTTGACATAGGGTTTAAATGATAAGAAACAAAATTACGATCCATCAGAATTTATGATAATTCTTAAAAGCTCAAGGAACATATAGAAACAAAAGGCACCACAATAATGCCATAGAAGAGATAAACGTGAATGATTGGATGCTTTAAGGGGGTGTTTGGAATTGCTTATGAAACCTTTTTATTGACTTATTTCGGTTTGATACCAGTAATAAGCAATTCTAAACATCCCTAAATTTAATAAAATACTATTAAATAATCAAGATCTATTTCATGGTTGATCTTAGAAAATGTTTATTAAATTAAAATGTGTACAATTCGAGAACTTTCTAAAAAAGAGAAGTCAAACATGTTTTTTACTCTTTAAATGGACAGTTGAGATTGAGTTATATTGATTGTACAAATTAAATGGACAGTTGAGATTGAGTTATATTGATTGTACAAATGTAAAGAGTTGGTATATATATATATATATATATATATGTGAAGTGGGAAGTGTGAAATGTGATAATTAGGTTGGATAATAATCATTAAAAAGACAAAAGGAAATAGAAATGGAAAATTGCCTATAAAAATGGAGGGGTGTGTGTGTGTTTGTTTTTAAAAAAAGACAAGAAATTGAAATCTAGTATTACTATATAATGAATGAATGAAATTGTTCGAAAATAGGACCAGCCATGGTTGGAAATGTTTTTCTTCAAATTGGTACAACCATGGCCATAATGGAGGTGTCATCGTCCTTCTATCCATCTGTTGCCTTCTTTCTATCATTCTTCCTCTCTCGTTCGGAGAGACATATATGACGTACCAGATAAACAGGCGTTACGTTCATTGAATCCATCTCTCTGAATTAGCGCCCAGCCAGCAGCCATGGACAGCCCTAGGAAGATGCGAATTCTTTCTTATGTTATGACCAAAATTCCCAGCTTCAAACGCCGGCAATTACAGGAGCTGGAGAATGAGAAACTATCCCGGGCGTCTACCTTACCGGAAACATATTCCGAACTCTCCGAACGTGAAACCCTTTCAGAACTCGCCGAACGTGTCTCTCGGCTGACGGACGATGACATCCTTGCTACCATCCGTGGGGTTGTCGTTGAAGTCACTCAGATTCGATCCGTCCTCAAAACCCTTGGCGAGCGTCCTGACCCTGAGGCCGTGGAAATCGCCAGGACAAGGCTCGCTGATATGGAATCATATTTCGCCGAACAATTTGACGAGATCGCGTTGTCCGAAAGCGATGTGGAGGAGGTCAGAAGAAGGATGAAGGTGGCAGAAAGGGAGAAGCAGATGTTCAGGGCCCTGATCTCGTTGGATGAGATGTTTGATACGTATAGCAATTTGTTGATTGTGGCGGAGAGGAGGCTTCAGAAGCTTTACGATACGGCTAGGGCGGCAGGAAAATTAACGGCGATTGATAAGAGGATTTCCTCTATGCTTCCAAGTATTGCCGAGGAGGTGAAGGAGGAGATGGCTGACATTCTTCAGGATGCTTTGGTTAATGGCGTCGAAAGGATTGATTTATCCGATCGGCGCTTGCCATTCGTCCCTGAAGCCTTCGGGAAGCTTCGTACATTGGTTTCTCTTGATCTATCCTGCAATAAGCTTATGGTTAGTCCATTTTCAAATCATTAATCCATCCTTGATTCAATCATGTCTTGCAATACGTAAGATCACATATAAAAATTTGAAGCCAATTTGATCTAATTTTTTTTTTTTGGAAAATTGATTCTAATTTCTATGATCACCCTAATATGATCTGATTATTGAAACAGGCCATTCCAGATTCAGTTGCTGGACTTGAGAATCTTGAGGAGCTTAATGTTTCTCATAATCTGTTTGAATCACTACCAGATGCCATCGGATCGCTCAAGAATTTGAAGATTCTAAACGTGTCTAGCAACAAGCTCACGGCCTTGCCCGAAGGCATTTGCAAATGCAGGTAAACAAATCAAATCATTGTTTCGTGATGAACATGATTACAAGCAGAATCGAATTACAGATGATATGATCTTGTGGGTGGATGTGATTTCAGGTCCTTGGTAGAACTTGATGCCAGTTTCAATAAGATTTCATATCTCCCCAGCAAAATAGGGTATGAACTGGTGCATCTAGAGAAGCTTTTGATGCCTTTGAACAAATTGCGCACCCTTCCTCCCTCCATTGGAGAAATGGTATCTCTTCAGATCCTTGATTTGCACTTCAACGAGCTCAGAGGCCTGCCACCCACCATTGGGAAGCTAACAAAACTCAAGATTCTTAACGTGGGCAGTAACTTTAACGATCTTACAGCACTCCCGGATTCCATTGGAGATTTGATCAGCCTTAGGGAATTGGATATCTGCAACAATCAGATCCGCGAACTGCCAATCACATTCGGGCGCCTTAGATCTCTGAAAAAACTGGTTGTGGATCAAAACCCATTGGTGATTCCTCCAAAAGAAGTGATGGATGAAGGTGTTGAAGCTGTGAAAGTGTATATGAGCAAGATGTTGTATGATTATATCGTGGAGGAAGAGAAACGAATGATGTGGGAACGGGAAGAGCAGGCGCAGGATGGTTGGTTTATGACGTGGTTTTTCGGGCCTCCGGATGCAACCTATCCTTACCTCAATCATCGACTATGATCATGTTATCCAACGATGGTAGTCATATTCGTCATTCTACCTTAAAATTATCATTTTTATTATCATCATCATCATCATTATTATTATTATTTGTGTGTTTTAAATCCTAATCCTCAGTTTGTAAGTGTTTTCCAAGCCAAAACCAACCCCTAAAACATGTGTGTAAAGTTTTGCAGGCAGGATATGCACCATGTTACCGGGAAAAGGAGGCCTCCATTTTCATATGTAACATGCTGAATTTTATTCCATGTAATTTAGGACCATATGATAAAATTTAATAAAATGGGCTCTTACCTTTTTCTTCTTTGTGTTCTTTTTTTTTTTAATTATTAACCTGGATATCCAACCAGCTATGCAAGCCAACTAATCCCAAGACGACCCTGCTTTGCAGATAGCCCAGAGTCACCGTATTTGAACCTCCGTAGCCATAAGGGGATTTTTATTCCTAGTTGGATTATTTTTTGTACCAATCAATTTATAACATCTAGAATATATTATTTAAAATAAAGATTTTTATGATATCTATGTTCTAATAAATTCTTTAATTTAAAACTTTATATGAAAAAAAAAAGAGAAATAACTAGATCAAATGAACAAAAAATTTATTGGAACAAAAAATAATCGGTTTTAAGGGTACATAACACAACATGTAAGAATGTAATATATGACTATAAATATTAAATGATAAATAATTAAAAACATATAACTTGGTACACTATAATAGTATTAGGGTATTCGTTTTCTTATATTATGTATTGGTATGATTGGAATTAATATAGGTTGGTTCGGTTGAGCAAAAATTTGACACCCTAAAGATAGTCTCGATGGATTGGGGATGGTCCCGACATAAATCTTTTACCTTCATATCAATGCAATGGTTAACGTGATTAAAAGTTTATGCATTTGATCATTAACAATTAATACAAAATATTGACTGACACTCACTGTATGATGTATTAGTTTTTTTTCAAATTTGTTGTACTAATTGAGACATTTTAGGTATTCTGGTACTGGTCAAAACTTTTTGTTAGATCGCTAAATCAAACATGTAATGGTTTTCTAATTAGGAATATACCTCGCCTTTAAACAGAAACTAATAACATTAATTAAATGGTCTTTGGTCAAATATCTAAATCATCTGTAAAACTCAATCTTAACGACAAAATGGTTATTAATTAGAGTGCCCTAACTTTTACTCAAATTAGAGTTTGTTATGTTATAAATTATTTATAACAATGTGGGTTTTTTATAAATATTTTATAAGGAAAAAGAAGATTTCAAAATGGATCATGCCAATTCTATGATTTGTTAAGAATGGATCCTCTTTTTTTGGAAACAATGACGTTTATTATTGTTATTTTTACACCTAAACCAAGATATGCAATGGCGTGGATATTATCTGTGATCGTATGACATGCTTTTAGCATGCATCTATAAATGCAATCTATTGATTCAACCCCAACCCACCAACTACATTCCATTTTCATTGTTTCTTGTAAATCTTTCAAGAAAAACAGAGACACTTTTAAGGGCAGCCATGGATCAAGAAAACCCAACAAATATTCTTGAGGTCCCTCTAATCGTTCCAAGATCAAGAACTGAAAAGGGTTGTGATGTTTTTTGGGAAAGAAGATGGGTTAAGATCAAATCGAGCATTGCTTCAGAGCCGATTTTAGAACTGAGGCAACAACTAAAGTTAGCAGGGCCTCTTTGTGTGGTCAGTTTTTTGCAGTACAGTTTGGAGATAATTTCCATCATGTTCGTCGGCCATCTTGGAGAATTCTCCCTTTCTGTTGCTTCAATGGCGACCTCTTTTGCTTCTGTCACTGGCTTTAGCTTCATGGTATATCCTACTTTTCACCAACATTTGATTTCTGGGTCCCATTTCTTTGTTCTTTAAATGCATCTATCACATGTAAATAATCAATACTTTTGATCCTCTGGGACCATCTTTTTCCCTTTTTTAGTAGTTCTACAAGATTGTTCATGAAATGCTGATTTTGATCATGGGGTTTTAACAAAATCTGGCTCTTTTTTCTAATGGATATCATTAAAGGTTCTAGGAATTTTAGATCCTGCTTTAATCGATTCTCGATTCATGCAAATATACTTACTTTCGTTCAAGATTTGGTTGGTCCCTTAGATAGGACCTACAAAATTAAAAAGAAAACCACAAAAAGTGTTCATCAATGAGGTTTCATTTTGATGAAAGGAGTTTACAAGAGGGTTTATTTAGGATATAAAGAACAAAAAGGAGTAGACTGGTTTCTTGAAGATCTGTCAAAAATTTATGCTCTTGTTTACAAATTTGCCTATAAAATGCTAAAAACTTTCTGCATTTTTCAAATGTAATTATGATTAGCTTGGAATGGGAAGTGCATTGGAAACCTTCTGTGGACAAGCTTATGGAGCAGAACAATATCGTATGCTCGGTGTACACACACAGAGGGCAATGCTTGTACTCATGCTTATGGCTATTCCTATATCTATTGTATGGACTTACACCAGAACTATCTTCACTTGGTTTGGACAAGATTTAGAAATCTCAACTGAAGCCGGATCATACACACGATGGCTCATTCCAAGTATTTTCCCTTATGGGCTTCTTCAGTGTCAGTTCAGATTCTTGCAGGCTCAAAGCAATACACGAGTGTTGATGATAAGCACTGGATTTACGAGCTTAATTCACATCCTTGTTTGCTGGATTTTGGTTTTTAAGCTTGGTTTAGGCTGTCAAGGGGCTGCCCTTTCTTGTGCTGTTTCATACTGGATTAATGTGTTGATTTTATCCATCTATATCAAGTTTTCGCCTGCTTTTGACAAAACATGGACCGGCTTTTCTAAAGAAGGGATGGTAAATCTTGGCGAGTTTCTTGTGTTGAGCATACCATCTGCACTCATGGTATGGTAAGTTAGTCTGAAATCTTAACTACTACCACCATATAGTACTCATGTCCTACTGTTTGACGATTTAAGGTTGAAAACTAACGAATTGATATGATTTCATTAACTTTGTAGAAAATTTTGAAAATCATCAAGTTTGTACATGATTCCTAAAGAACAAAATTTGGGCCAAAAACTCAGGCTAATATGATTTCCATATGTTGAATCAGCCTGGAGTATTGGTCCTACGAGTTTCTTGTTTTCATGTCTGGCCTTCTTCCAAATCCAAAACTTGAAACCTCGATGATGTCAGTCAGGTATGTAATTAAGTTAGCCTAGATTAAGCACAAGTGGATGTGAATGTTTCATACAGATTTTATTAGCTCATGGTTTGTCTTCTTGAACTGTTTTATTTCCAGTCTCACTACAAGTTCGGTTATCTTCAGAATCCCTTATGGTTTTGGGAGTGCTGTCAGGTACATCTAATACTGAATTTTCTTCACAAAGTTTGTTTAGATTGCATGTGGTTTTTATTTATCTGTTTATCGTATTTATGTGAAGCACGAGAGTTTCGAATGAATTAGGAGCCGGGAAACCACGGGCTGCACAGCTTGCAGCACGAGTGGTGATGTTTCTGGCTGTTACAGAAGGGATTCTTGTAAGCTTATCTTTAGTTGCTATTCGACATATCTGGGGCTATATGTTCACCAATGAAGAAGAAGTTGTTAGTTATCTGTCTTCAGTCATGCCGGTTCTTGCCTTATCCAACTTCATGGATGGAATTCAGGGTGTTCTCTCAGGTTAGATCTTCAACTTTCTGATACTATTTGCAACAGCAAGCTGGAATCTTTAGGATACCAACTGATTGATGCATTTATGAATAAGGTACTGTAAGAGGATGTGGGTGGCAAAAGATTGGTGCTTTTGTGAATCTTGGAGCGTATTACCTTGTTGGCCTTCCTTTATCTGTCATCTTGACCTTTCTTTTGCATTATGGAGGAATGGTAAGGAGATTTTTTTTAGTATATTCTAGCAGACTAAACGAAACGAACCCGGTATATCCCACTCGAAAGTAGAGCGGGGTGAGATGTATGCAGACCTGTATTTTACTCCTGTTTTTTATTGTGGAAGATTAGGCGTTATTCTTGTTTTTGATGCAGGGACTCTGGATGGGGATCATAGGAGGAAGCGGGCTTCAAGCAATCCTTCTCTTGGTTATTACTATGCGCACGAACTGGGAACAACAGGTACATACCTTCTTATTTCTATATTGATATCCCCTTTTGATTCTATAACTTTTGTAACTTGTTGGACTATTATTCTTAGATGTCTAAGGCCATGTCTGGCAACCATAAGCTACCTTTTTTTAGCTTACTGAAAAAGTCATGTTTGATAAGCCATTCAGATAGCTTATTGAGACTTTTTTCCAATCATGCCCCTTATATGTTACATAAATGTCCCTTGTATTTTTCTATTGGGTTATTTCACATTGTCATTAAGCTTATTTGCTCGTTTTTACCAAATGTGAGCTAACAACTAGCTTATTACTTATTAGCTTACATATGGTTTATCAGCTAGTATGATGAACATCGTCTTAGGTTGAAGAAATATGATCGTAGTTGTCTTGTGTTTAATTCTTATTTCACACTTTCATTTCAGGCCATAAATGCACGAAATAGGGTGTGTGGTACCAGCTTGCCTAAGTGATGGATGTGACTCAACGAAAGATATTCACTTGTTGGCTTTTTCTGTAATGTGATCACATCTATTGGTATGCCGATCTTTTCTGAAAATGGAGCAAAAAAGAGGTAGAGAAGCGGAGGAGGGATATGGTGCTCTCGAATTCCATATCCCAAGATCTAAGAAAAACTTGATACTGAAATATGTAAATAGAAGTTTGACAATTGGTACTAATGTAGCTCACAACGGTTCATCAATCCTTGACCAGTAATGGAGTCCAATTAACATCAAGTTAATCCTGTTTTGCTAATTCTCTGTGAATATCTATCATCTTTCATTAAAATTGCAGATTTAAGCCTTCTTGACAGCAAACCATTTTTATTAGTTGATTTATACCTCTTAGGATGCTTGGCTTTTTCTGAAATTTTGATGACATAATGGGGAACACTTTAAACTCCATGGAAATACTTTAATGAATAAAGGTGATACAAAAAAGGTGACCATGGAGATAAACGTTTTGTGCCCACTTTGGATGGTCTTATATGCCTGATCCATCAAAGCACTTTATATATATACATATATGTAGGTATATATATATATAGAGAGAGGAAGGATCATGCGAGAAGTTAAACATTTTACGAGAAGGCCAGAAGTCTCAATATCATATATGATTACACGTCTTTGGTTGGGTGTGGTTAATCATATTTATGATTGTCTATATGTTGTCAATACAACATGTTTTTAGTTATATATGATTACGCTTGTGTATCATGCGTGTAATCATATACGATATTGAGACTTATCGCCTTCTCGCAAAATGTTTAACTTCTCATTTGAACCTGCCCTTATCTATACTATATTATAAAGCATTTGGCTAAAACTCTTAAAAACTCTTAAACTCTTAAACTCGTTCATCCCTAAACGATTTCATTCCTATCTGATTTCATCCCATAACTGAATTCGTGTAACTAACTGCAGATAAACATAATCCAATACAGAATAAACATATCATTTTAAATATAAAAAAACTAAAATATAATTAGGATAATCATTGAGTTCTAACAAAATACTTAATTATTATCTTTATAAAAT